CACAATTTTAGCATTTGTACTTATTTTTTATAACAAGTCTCCATTCATTGCATGCATACAAAAATAATGCTGTTGTTATAGTACTTTAACAAAAAGTTTATCGATTAGTTTCAGAAAATACATGAATTGGAGCAGATTTTTGCAGGGATGAATTTCTATTTCAGAAGTTTGTACATAAGAAGGATTGCATTTTTAGAGTAATCAGTTGGAAAAAGTGGAGGGGGTGGGGGGGGGGGGGGGGGGGGGGGGGGGGGGTAGGGGGTAGGAGTAGGTAGTTGGTGGACCTTGGTTGATTAATTAGGATTGCATGTATACATCTTGAAAGCTGCAAAGTTTGAAGCTATAATTAGTTAATTTGTTGATTTTACCATTTCAGAGGCATTGAACCCCCAAGAAAATGACGCGTGCCATTTCGACAAAAACTTTCCATTTATTTCATGTTGCGACTAACATTTTGGTTACTTTCTTTTTGTCGATATCTATAACTCTTTCTGAGTAGAAGAGAATGTCAAAATTTAGAACATGACCTTGATCTTTGACCTTGACCTCATTTTCTAAGTTAGGTCCCAAGGACCTCGAATTAAAGGACTCTAGGTTTATATGGCTTAGAGTTTATGAGTTACAAAAACATTACGACAAATGTAATTGGTAAAGGAAGATGACTCCTAGAAGATGTCACTTGATCACTTCGCTCCAAATCAGCCAAAAATTCCAAAGGATGTAACGAACAATTATGAAAAAACAAATTTTCGTTAAGTTTTTTTGGTTACGGAGGAGATACAATAACAAGAAAACAGTGTTTGGGGAGATAACTCTTACAATACAAAAACTCTTCGGCTAAACAAGGTGAGTTTCAAAAGCGCAATAACTGTTCGATAGAATATCCAAAACATCTAAACGAAACCACTTTATACCGCAAGAAAAGGGTTTAGCGGAAGGAGAACAAAAATATTATTCAGAACAAAATCAACAGGTCTTTCCACGGAAAAGTGGAAAGGCCTAATAAAATGTACAGTCATAAATAAAACTTTTTTACTTGCGAAATAGCAGTAAATCGATCTGATCGAAAGTAATATCACTCGAAAAAAACCTGATTTACACTCGAAATAAGTGTACCAATTCACTCAAAAATACGATCCCAGCCGGAAACTATCACTACCGTGTAAAGAAGATCCAGTTATATCCGTTCTTCTCAAAATAGGGAAATATAATCATTGACGTTTTTCATCTTATAATATTTATAAAGCTCCATCTATATAGTAAGTAAGTTAATTTTGATTAAGCGTCTCCTAATATATAAAACATTAGCTTATCACAATCGAGTATATGGTGTCTGAAAAATTATATCTAAGGTACCCCACTTTTTCCAACATAAAATTCGTATTCAAAGTGCTCCATTCAGGATTCCTTGAAGCATTCTAGTATAAACATGATAGCTTTACTCAATGAATTAACAACATAGAAGCAGACAACTTAGCTATCCAATCGATGCTTCAAAAATAAAAAAGTCATCGGTCAGCATTACTTGTTAAGGCTATATGCCGAGCAAAATCGTTGATCCAAGTACAGAAAAGGCCAATCGCTGATTATACGAGCAGATCAACCCATCTCTATGTGACAAAAGCAAGAATGTTCGCCTTTTTCACCTTTCTAACTAAATATGTTCCTAGATTAAATCGTCCAATATCTCTATTTTTATATTAAACAGAGCAAACTGAGAAAAAAAAAAAAGAAAAAAAATTCAGGACTGTCATGACTTAAAAAGTAAAATAACAAAAATACCGAACTCCAAGAAAACTCAAATCGGAAAGTCCCTTATCGAATGGCAAAATCAAAAGCTCAAACACATCAAACGAATGTTTACACAGTGTTAAGTTTATTTATATCTAGTATAACATTCTAAATATAGAGGATTTGACAGACGCAAACAATATCAAAATCCAAAGCTTTTTGTTTCCTGGTTCACTTCATCTACTGTATGATCAATTCTCGTATACTCCCGAAATGGGGCATTTGGAAATTATCGAACATACCTTGAATTCTTGTGTAAATACTTGTACATGATAGCAAAGAAAAAAATCGCAGACTACGTTGTAAAAGTCAACAATAGTCAAAAATGGGGATGGAGAAAAAACAATGTTTACTCTTGAGGTGAATAATTCCTTTTAACAATATATACAGAAGCTGGGAGCGCTCTCTAACACTGAGAACGAAACAGTCTAAAATATCGGATAAACAACAACATGCATTCGATATATACAAGATCGCGGTATAAATAAACTCATCATCCAAAAAAAAAAAGGAGAGCTGTTGTGTATAGGTCTACAGTTATCTCAGTTGTACAAATTACTACAGGCAAAGCACACAAACGAGAAAGAAATAGAAATAAAAGTAAAGGAAATAGAAATAAAAGTAAAGGAAATAGATGAATATCAAGAAATACAAATATTAGTAGCATGCAAACATACAATCCAACCATGCCTAACACTTATCTTTTATTCGAACACTACTGCAATGTAGTTTTATCAATGTTTTTTTAACTTCTAGATATGTGGCAGAACTACAAGAGATATTCTCATTCGGATAAGATCCCAAGGATTGACTGCTGTACACAAAGATGGTCAGCTGGACTTCTCCTGTTCCGGTAGTAAACAATACTTGCGAATGTGGATTGTCCGTTTAACTCTGTGGGATGCATAAACCGTTGGAATGGGTACGCTTAATCCGATGTCTCAAGAAAAGAGGGTGCTAAGCTTGGTGTTTATTACACAAGGCATAACCTTTACTTGCATTGCTAGAAAAAAAAACATAAATGATTTTATTGCAGCTCGGGAATTCGGTGGAAGAGTGGTCTAAGTAGTTCATGTACAGTAATTACTAGGCTGCCCACAGTGATTTGAGAGTTCAAAGCCCGCTTGTGGCACAGTACATTCGTTTCCGGTCTTAATTTACTAGGGTTACCTGTTTGATTTCATTTCGGAGGTTAAAAAATATGTTTTTTGTCATTTTTACCTGTATAAGAATGATTTTTTTGTGGATCGAATCAGTCAACCAAATGGTTCATCCTTGTTTCACTTTCAATGTTGAAATTCTTTTCCTTTTAATAGCTGAATACATGCGTAACCCATTTCCAGCCAAGTGGTTAAATTGAAGTTCATCTGAATACGGATTCAATGAGGTCGAATTATTTACTTGAAAGTGAATAATTAATCAGCGAAATTTCTTATTTTGACAAAATTGAACCAACTTGGCTGCAAAAAGCGAATTATTATTTCACTATTTCACTTTCATTAATGATTGAACAAAAACAAATCATGTTTTATTTTTTTTTGTATCTCGTAGCTAATGACCCTTTAAAAAAAAAAAAAAAACAAAACAAAAGAAAAATTCTATGGACTCCAAACTAGAATCGATTAGTCAAATTTGTTATTTGTGCCTATTGAGTTATTCATTTAAAAAAGTGGCGGTTTAGTAAAGAACATGTAACATTTCATTTATTTGCTTAATGAAAAAGATAGGATAAACTTTCATAGAATAAGTATTATCAAACAAATTATATAACATTTGTCGTTGTAATCTTATCATTTAGCAGACGGCGTTTTGTTCATTAGATACGAAAATATCAAGAAAGAATTTAGATGCAACAGATTTGCTATGACGCAAGAATTCATCTTAATCGTTTCAAAATTAATTATACATTCGTGAAACAAAAATATTTTGCATAAATACAGAGCAAGCAATTTAGTTAAATTCTTAGTATTTTGTATCCTTCCTTGTTTGATCAATACTTCCGTATTAATTGGGAAAAAACCCCACTCAATCTGTTATATTAAAATCAGTAATTTTACTGTACGCATAAAAGTAGCTTCATTCACTAAATGTATGTGGTTTCCTGCATGCCATTTTTCGCTTTACAGCGTGAAGAATCAAACTCTTTTTTAAGCATTGAAGTATTTTTCCCTTATGACCAACTGTCCAGTAGAACTGAATCAACATGATCAAGCTTCTACGAGTTTTGCTCTCTCATGATCACTATAGGACATGGTTTTGAACGTTAAAGTTCTGTCGAACAGTTTATTGTCTACAAATTATTGCTATTTAAAGTATTTTGAGTCTGCAAGTCTGCTTGTGATCGAATAAAATTGTAGTCAAAATTATAACGTCCAAAAAGCCGATCACAAAATATGTGGTATGTGAGTGTTAATTTTGCATCGTGTTTTTCAAAGTATTGATGAAACTGTATACGGGAAAAAGTGATAAGAAAAATATGATTGGCTTATCAAGCATCTTGAAACGTTGCTACATTTCCATTCTATTCTTTAGATCATTGGGAATTTTCATAGGTCAAAACGATAACGTTTCGTGCATGGCAACGGCGATATGTGATTTTGTCCATCATAAAAAAAAAATCATACTTTTCACTTGCAGATCTTACTTTTGTAAAATGTATTACGTTCTGAAGAGTACACGAGTTTTAAAATGTCTCATGTTAATATGTTACTCCGGCCAAGTCATATGACGTCATATTGGTATATCAAAACGTCGCGGACTTTTTCTATTTTTCACAAAGAGAATGTTTACCATAGGTAAAAGGACAAAACGGCTCGTATGAATTGAATATAGTTTAATATCAAATATTGTTATTTAATTTAAATAGTAACAATAAACTCGCCTCAGGCTCGTTTATCATTGTATTGAAATTGAATAACTCCAGTTGATATCAAGCGATATCAAATTATCACTCGTTATAAAACCTATAATTACATCTTTTGTTTCGATGCAAAGACTTAAAAAATGTACATTTTTCACCTTAGGTTAAAACAACGTTTCCAGATCACACAAATCCAGGTCTTAAGTGTTTCTTTATCTATTACATTTCTCAATATTTGTCAAAATCTCATTCAACCTGTTCCATGTCATATTGGATTTTTTTGTAACTGTATGCGTGTTTCGGTTTTTTATTATAACGTATCATTTTATTAACTATGTCTCATCAACGAAATACTTCCCACCAGTCATGCTCTTTCATACGGAAATAAAACTATTTATGCATCTTTCAAAACCCGTTAATATATTTCTAATAGTATGTAACAGTTGTTTTGAAGAGATACAGATCTTAAAATGTGAGTATGTGTTATTTAAAAGTGTTATTTCATCACATTTTAGTTTACAATTTCATTCTAAGGCCTACCAAAAAAAAATGACACATTAAGGAAGTTAAACACGATAAACAGATTAGCCGGATGTTTTTAAACGATTTCAAATCTGATTTTTTTTTGTTTGTTTTATTATGACACTATAATGTCTATAAGCTATTGCTATTTAAAGTATTTCGAGTCTGCAAGTCTTACTTGTGAATTCGATTTGAATAAAACTGTAGTCCAAATTACACTTATGACACTTACATTTGTATGTAAGAGATAAAAAAAATCCTACGAATGTTTCATTATGACACTTATGTATGAGATAGAAAAATCCTACGAATGACATTGAATATTTCTCATTCAGAAGCGACTTCAAAAAATATACATTACACTAAATATCGACAAAAATTTGATGCAGCCTAAATTCGCACATAATCTGTCTTTCTACAAAAGAATTTTCTATAATTAAAGTATATAGACTAACTTTAATAAAAAGTATGTTTCACGTTTCTGCAACTTAATATGCTTCGCACCACCAATTTTTACTACAATGCACAAGACTAGACGATGATGATTCAATTTACAGATATTATGTCTTGAAAAAAGTATTTCAAGATATTGTTGTGTATTTCTATATTTTATTAAAGCATTATAAGTTTTGAATTTTAAATTATTTGATTATGATTATTTGTTTTATTTACTGTTTTTTTGTTGACAGGAAATTATATTTGATTAATATGCAGGAAATCCATTTTATCTTAAAATACAATATCTATCGTTGAAATTATATATTTAAACAGAACGATATGTTTGTTCCGGTAGTCCATATCTTTTAAATCGCAGGTAAAGTTCAGGGATAGTAATTACACTCAGGTTTGATTGCAATTCGCATGACAAAGCTTTGAAAATTAGTAGATACAACCCTTTGCTCGTCTGTTTTTGGGTATTGGTGGCAAGTGTTTATTGATAAATACTAGTACACCCAGGCTACCCGCAGTAAACCCCTTTAGTTGGAAAACAACTTATAATCCTTGTCATTTAAGATCGCAGTTAAATACATTTCCATGATCGGGGTTCGAATTCACAGGTAAGCGTCACTGTAGATGAACTATCCTATCTGTTTTATTCAAATATCAATCAATCAATCTTAAGTCAGCTGGCTTGCGAATGGTTGTCTTTACTTTATAGGTTCTGTGTATCAGCTAGGAATATGGTTTATTAATATGTTCTTCCTTTAACTTTAGTTTACAACTGTGTACCACGATGACGTGGTAAATTTTGTACTGATATTTAAAGCAAGATCAGCATTCCTTTAAATTGTTTAATTTATTTATATGTATATGTGTTTAGGCTTTATTTGTAATGTATATACTTTTCATGACTCTCATCATGACCGATAGTATAATTGAACCGAATAACAAAATCCTGACTTCGACTCTGATTATAATTTCACCTTAATTTTAGGTCGACCACAAAACATGTAATAAGAGTGTGCAGTTTGTTTTGCCGCTTTATATAACATCGAGCATTGACGGTTATAGTAATCAAGGAAATTATATAATGCGTATATATATTTTAAAAGCGGATTAACATGGCGAAGCGGATTACCACCACAAAAAGGATTGACATTACAAAGCGGATATCATGACACAGCGTAAAAATTGAAAATATTGAATCGATGCAGTGGCAATTTGTTGTTGCGAAGAAATTAAAAAAAGAAATAACAATTATTTTCAAATATCTTTTCAGTAGACACCCTTTGATCAAAATGGAAAGCAATTGTAGTGGAAATAATATAGATGATCGTTGTACCTATCCTGATGGTCAGCGTAAGATTTAATGATTTTCAAACAATTAGATTATTGTCATTCATTATTGAGAATGTTTTCTACTGCATTGTTTTTGTCTCTGTCTCTTGTTGGTCTAAATTGAATTCGATTCATTTGCTAGTTTACAACATCTTACTGTGCTTCGCTGATGACAACATGTTTGTACTATTTCTGTTTCTACAATAGTCAAGCAAATTACTGTGCGTTTGTTTAATATCTGTGATACTTTATACAGTAAGTATTTAATAGTATTAAATAGTATCCCGTAAATGTGTTCCACAATTAACAAATGATGTGCTGTTTAATACATTGGATATACTACTCCGTAATATAAAGCTGTTGAATACGTTTTTTCTACATAACGTTAAACGTTTCAGTTCTTCAATTTTGGGATAAGCTCTTTTTATAGATCTGCAAAATGACGCCTATATTCGGAAATTAACTGAGACACTCGTACTCTCGTAAAAGAGGGACGAAAGATACCAGAGGGACAGTCAAACTCATAAATCGAAAACAAACTGACAACGCCATGGCCAAAAAAAAAAGAAAAAAAGACAAACAGACAAATAATAGTACCGATGACACAACATAGAAAACTAAAGACTAAGCAACACGAACCCCACCAAAAACTGGGGGTGATCTCAGGTGCTCCGGAAGGGTAAGCAGATCCTGCTCCACACGTGGCACCCGTCGTGTTGCTTATGTTATTACAAATCCGGTAAATAGTCTAATTTGGTAAGTCACATTCGTGAAAAGGGAAGGGTATTGTAGTTACGACATAAGGAACATATCCGATATCATCTGTGAAACGGTTATTCCATAACGGTCAACCAACTCGTGATGGCGTCCGTAAAATTTACGAAGGGGATAATTTCAACTTCAGCATTTGGAATTCTTGGTTTAATAGCTTCCTTGTGAGCAGCAATCCTCTATCAAGGAAATCATGATAGGAAACACAAGCCCGGGAATATCGTATCAATTGGGAGATATATACTTCGTATGCAGGTGCTGCTGGAATGTTGCTACATAGAAATGGAAAGTTCACAATTGGGAAGCTGAAATCATCTCTTTTGTCGTAAAGTTTTGTTTTCAACCGACCCTCATTGTCAATTTCTAGATGTAAGTCAAGATATGAGGCAGACTTATTTGTATCTGTAGTATCCTTTATCTCTAGTTCGATGGGATAGATTCGTTCAACATAGTCACCAAATTTTGTATTATTTAGTGAGAGAACATCATCTATATAGCGGAACGTAGAGTTAAAGGACATTGCTAACTTCTTATCTTTCTTCCTAAGAAGTTCCTGTATGAAGTCAGCCTCATAATAATAAAGAAACAAGTCGGCAAGAAGAAGGCACAATTGGTTCCCATTGTAATTGGCACACTATGATTGATTGAAATTTTCCGCGAACAGATTCGGCTCAGAATTATTCCAATATATTTCAGACCTTTTCAATTGGAGTATAGCCTGGTCACAGCAGTTTTTTGACAAGTGATTTTGAGACACAAGTTAAGAATAATCGAGCCAAATTCTAAATAGTTAAGAACACAAATTTTCATATATAAAACAGTTGTATTCTGCATTTCAGTCCAATTATAAGAGAATCAATTTTTTTCTATATATTCTTTTTCAGAGAGATCTTTATTTCAGAAGATGATCGCATTTTTTACATTAACAAAGATTTATATTCATCCAGATGTCAAACTAACCCAAGGAGGGGAAAGTTTCGACTTTTTATTATATAAAGGTAAAATTGAAAAATACATATTGTCAACGGCAAATAAAGATTTGGAAAAACAATAATAAGATGGTAAGATTCATTTCTATAAACTTCTCGATTGTAAACTTTTCATTCTCAGTAGTAACATTCCCTCTGACCAATCGAATGGAGTTTACATATTTCAATTAATTCTCTACACTCGCGGATGTTCACACTATACGGACTTGATAAACAGGATGTTTAGCCTTACACAAAATGCAGATTATGTGGAAGAACGACTGAAATAGACACTATATAGGTTTTACGGTCATCATCACGAATTGGTTGACCGAAAAATGTATCTGTGTCTCAACTCTCTAGCGACATGTTTTAACAAGGTCTTATATTTTATATCCGAGCAAAAAATTATTATCTGTAATTTTACCAACTGTGTCCTATTCCAAATTAAGCAATTTCTTTTTAACAAAGTGTGGATTCGAATGGCCGGTGATAGATGCATAACAGAACGTGCATGATACGCATTTTGTATCAAACATACCAAGAAAAAAGTTAATTAAGGATAAAAGAAATCGCACGGTTGTTATTTAATATATGAATTTACATTCATCAGTAACCATATAGCTTGCTTATTTTATTTTACAGATAGCGAGGGACAATCGCATATAGAAATGAATTTTCCAGTAAAAGGAGTTCTAATAAATTGTACTACAACAAAAGACAGAACTGAATTTAAAGTATTACTTGGCGGTATTTCATGTTAGTAATCACTTTTATATTTTGTAGTCCACACCTTTGTCTTGATGTGAAATATCATTGACATGTTCCTTTTCTGTAAATTTACTCTATATGAAATGCTAATTACTTAAAATACTATAGTTTTTCTTCCAAAGGCATAGATTGCCTTAGCCGGATTTGGCACAATATCTCGGGATTTTTGGCTCTAATGCTTTTCAAATTCAGATTTGATGTGGTTCCAACTGTTTTGATTCGAGCGTAACTGATGCGTCTATAAAGACGAAACGCGCGTCTGGCGCAACAAATTGTACGCCTGGTATCTTTGATGAGTGTTTACTTAGGTGTTTTGTCTATCATAATAAACAAAGTTATTTGATACCAAAACGAAGTAGAGTATGTACAAAAGGAAAAGATTGAATTGAAACAACACAAAGTATAACAAAAAAGATAAGGATATGCCATCAAAAGGAAAACGCAGAATAAACGTGCAATAAAAGCAAAACACCAATCCTATGTGTGTTATCACATTGTACTTCCATAAAGCATCAAATCTTTGGAAATCTTGAAAGAAAAAAAACTCGATGATATAGAATATACAATTACTAGGCAATTAAGAAATATTTATGACGTTACAATATGCCTTTTTGTATAGACAGAAATATAAAACAATTTAGTTTCCATAGTAATTAATCAATAATAACAACAACAAAAAAAGAATGAGTCAAAACAATTGTAATATAAGAAAAAATAACCAAATGTGCTACAATGTCTCTAAAAAAAATTTATCTGATGTGTCCTATAAAAGGACAGATATGTACGGGTAAAACGAAACAAAACAATGTAAATCAGTAAAAATAAAGATAAAGACCACAACATTTACTGTGCATATCGCTGTGTGTTTATTTATCCCACAATGTTTAGAGGTATAGGAGGAAGGGTTGAGATCTCTAAATTTTTAACTCCGGCGCATTTTTGCGACTGTCTCAAGTCAGGAACCTCTAACCTTAATTAGTCTTGTGTTTTATTTTAAGGTTTGTTTCATTTGTATGTTAAATGTGGCGTTCATTTTACTGAACATTATTGTTCAGAGGTAGCTGAAGCTCGCCATCGGGGCGGGATTTTTCCGCTGAGTTGAGGACCCAATGGTGGCCTTGGGTTGTTTATTGCTTTTTTGTTGGAAGGTTTTCTCTTTGACACATTCCCTGTTTCCATTCTCTATTATATATATATATATATATATCTAATTTATGTATGAAATAGGCTTAAACTATTTTAATGTCGGCTCGATTTCTTGTATCTGTCGCAATGAGTGAGTAATAGCAAACTGATGGTCAGGTATAGGAACTCCCTAACAATGATCTGAAAATATCAAAATTTGGATGGTTGTCCTCAATTCTAGTTGAGAACGTAACTAAATTATACAAGTTCTTTTATGAATCACCTTGTCCTATATAATTGTATATTAACAAATATCCTAACTTTTGATTGTGGTTGTACGTTCTATTCGGGTTTCAGACATGGCATATGATTGGATAATCCCGGCTAAGGGTTTTTAATTCCCTTATATAAACTCTAAGCCGGGAATATCACATCATTTTCATTTTTGAAATCTGGATTGTATTAAAATTACGGATAACCCCTACCTTTGTTTATTAATTATATCATTTTATCTTGTATTATAGATATTCAATGCATTGTTTTGTACATTACGTATATTTCATTTTATTGCATTTTTCAACTTGAAAGAATAATTTTTTTTCTACGTTTGAAATATTTTTGCAGTACAGTATTTATCATTCATATGCACTATTTGTGTGTAAATGACTTTGCATGTATTGCGATCTCCAATTATATCGATAAACCTAACTATATATTTTTCCGCATGCCTGAAACAAATGTAATTTGCTGTGAAAATAATATTTTCAGTTGATAATTTAGTGTTTGGTGCATGATTTTGAAACGAAAACGAACCATTGAAGGATACTCATCATTGTGTTTAACTTTGTGAGCTAATTTTTGATACAAATTACGTCACAGAATATCGTAACGATTGACATGATTTTGGGTTTCATTTTGAATTAGAATGATACGTCTCGGCTGTTTCTGGGATTATATACTGACATCCCTATTTAGTTATCCAATAATACAACTTGATAACGTAATATTATTTGTTTTAATAGCTGAGACAGGAAACAACGAAAACACAGAGAACAGAATTTTCAACAGCAAATCAGATCTACAACATGTACAATCTTCAATAAACATAGGTATGACCGCGGCGAAATGCTAAGAATTTTCTTTTACATATTTAGATATCCCCCATCGGATAAATCTTCCTCTATGATCCTATGGTATCGTGTAGAGACGTCAACTACCGCTAGGGGAAAATAACTAGCGATAACAAACCTACCAAAATTCCTTATCATAACCTTTTCATGCGTTAAGTGGTGTGTATCACGTCATTGACAAATAATCATTTAGGAAGGTAATGTGTGCGAGGGGACACATAGATGGTTATGAAGCTTCATATAAGGATATTCGTGGTGCAAAATGTTGAAGACAATGATAAAGGAAACACTAACATGACTCATAATAGCGTGTCACTAGTTTTCTTAGGTACGCAAGAAAAAGATTGCTTAAAAAACTTAAATTTCTATTACTCTTTAATCTGTATATCAAAACAAATATATATAACAAAAATAAAATAATGTAATTGTTGCTGCCGTAAAAAAACCGGACCCATTAGATGAATATTTTTGTTTAAAAGGCGAAAAAAAATACTTCCCGTATCTGCAACTCATATTGGAAGCATTGGTATTGAGATTGTTGTTCCATAGAGCGTTCATATTTATAAAAATAACACGATTTATTCATACTGCATTTATTATACAGACGTTACAAAGTTCACCTAAAATACAAAACACACGGCATACACTCCAACAGTTCACACCATTCCAGCTATACTGTTCATTCGTCCAACATCAAAAGATTCCTCTCCTCTCACGTCACTATCACTGAACGTCAATATACGGGATGCAACTTTAACGCTGTATTGCCTTAACACGGACATGTAGACAAAGTAACAGTCACAGCAGAGATAATTGGAAGAGCATGCAGACAAGAAATACATGATAATCAATTAAGAACTATAACCGTTAACCCCTTTGCATAGACGTTTATGTTATTACGAAGAGTTACCGTTATTTGTTACAGAGAGAACCTCTATTTATTTGATTAAAAATGTAGATAAACAGTCTAACCCAATAATTGCCAATCTGTTTCAAATTTGGCAGATTTAAGCATAACACTAGACCTATTGTGAACTGCTATTTTACAATCCAAGATGGCGGTATATAGTTAATCTACCTTAATATCAGGTCAATATCCTTATAACTTTTGTGAAGTAGATCAACTACATGACCCAATTCGCCAATTTTCATTCGCATTTTAGAAATTTATATTTTGAATATATTTTTATATTTATATCATTTGTCTATATCGTGCACTCCACCCTTCTAGGATGTCGTTATTTTGATTTCTGAATAAAGGTTGAAAATTAGGTTTTGCTCGGTTGTTCCATCCATGCCACATTTTTCGATTGATTTGTTTGAGTTTTTGATTTTCCATTTGTTAAGGGACTTTCCGTTTTGAATTATTCTTTGGAGTTCGTTATTTTTGTTATTTTACGTTTTCATATCAAAATGACTTTTCGGTTTAATTTTTTTTTACTTATGCTGTGCTATCAGGTTAACAAACATGGTCAAACCCAAACATATCAATTATTTTTACTAATGTACAAGCAATAACTTACTTTGATGTATGCTTTTTTGTGCTTCTTCGTTACATTTGTTTGTTTTTATAGTGATTAAGATGATAACCCAATGTTGACTGCTGTACCCTTATTTTTGACATTTTTACCTATTGTGTCTGTTTGTTTTGTTCACGCATCGTTGTCAATATAATGGAATTTGATGCGACTGTCATACAAGTGAGAAGTTTAGCTAGCTATAAAACCAGGTTCAATCCACCATTTTCTACATAAGAAAATGCCTGTACCAAGGCAGGAATATGACAGTTGTTATCCATTCGTTTGATGTGTTTGTTTTTTTGATTTTGCCATTTGATTAGGGACTTTCCTTTTTGAATTTTCCTCGGAGTTCAGTATTTTTGTGATTTTACTTTTTACTCTCAATGCATTAGCATATCCATATTTGTCGTCTAACTTCAATCATGAAATCATTTGTATTTATCATGTTTATAAGTAGGATTTATTACATGTAGTACTAATATTTACATTCTGTTATGATAGATGATTCCAATTTTCAAAATTCGAAGATACCTCCTTGGTTGGACAACACGTTCAGCGATACAGAAAATGGCAACTCGAATGAAGGTAAGGGGACTTATATAAAACGTTGAAACAGAACATTCCGCGTACTTGTTCTAAAATTCTTACACAACTGATATGTCTTGTAGACGGAACATGCGCGTCCGGCATTTTAGATTATAAGCTTGGTATATTTGATGGGTTTTTAGGATCAGAGCATAGGGTGTGTTTGGTAGAAAAGAGCAAACATATACTAATATTAAACAACATAAGCTTATGTAAATTATATTGATATGGCAAAAACCTGTGCAAAACAAATGATATACAAAACTGCATTTAAAAAATCATTAGAAAATAACGAATCGGAACAAAGAAAATATCACAAACACGACTTTTAATACAGCATGGGATTTTTATTTGATGTTTGATTTTTCACTTCTGTTCTTAGGATATAATATTTACTTGACATTTTTATTATTGAGTCTCAATATAGTATTGGATGATTGCGGATCATGTTGTGTAGAGCAAAACTAAACATAAAATCAACTCATAAAAAATCGGGAGTTAATGACAGATGTTCGACAATGCCTTTACATTGATAGATTGTTAAGAGTTAAAGTTTAACATGTTTTACAGTTTTGTTTATTTTCGGACACTTTATATCTTAAATTGAAGTCATATTTGCTAAAATCATACATTGGCAATTGTCACATATAGTAGTATTTCATTTACTCATCTATTGGTCACTCATTGCCGGGATTAACAGCATTTAGTCCAATTAATATATATATATACTATCAATGTAAATGTATAAAGTATTGAAGACATGTATATAGAAATAAGAAGATGTGGTATCACTGGTTTGATTAGACTTGATTGTACGCATTTTATATAAAGATTAAGGGACATTAATATTTCAAACACTGTCATCTTTGTGTAAGCTATTTACATAAATATAAAACATTAACGGTGCCAATTTTACTGCATCAGATGCGCACTTCGACAATAAATGTCCCTACGGTCGTTGGGAGGTAAGTTTCTAAGTTACGCAAATTAGTTTTATTGGATTTCACATAAAAACATCCAAAGCTCCGATTACACTGAATATTACAAACTGAAAGCATGCAATTCAACATTACAAACTGTATCAATGAAACTGAATATTACAAACTGTATCAATGAACCTGAATATTACAAACTGTATCAATGAAAAAATGATGTAACTGAATATCACAAACTGAATCAATGTAACTTAATATCACAACCTGAATCAATGTGACTGAATATTAAATAATTATTCAATCAACGTAATTGAATGTCACATACTGAATTTTTTTCACATAAAACTTCCACAGTTTCGATTGCAGTGAATATTACAAACTGAAAGCATGCAATTCAACATTACAAACTGTATCGATGACACAAAATTTTACAATTTGAAAACTTGCTATGCAACATTGCAAACTCTATAAATGAAACTAAATATCACAAACTGAATCAATGAAACTGGAATCACAACCTCAATCAACGAAACTGAATATCACAAACTAAATCAATGTTACTGAATATCACAAACTGAAGCAATGAAACCGAATTTCACAAACTGCATCAATGAAACTGAATATCACAAACTGCATCAATGAAACTGAATACCACAAACTGTATCAATGTAACTAAAATCACAAACTCAATCAACGAAACTGAAAATCGCAAACTGAATAAATGTAACTGAATATCACAAACTGAAGCAATGAAACTGAATATCACAAACGAAATGAATGTAATTTAATATCACAAACTCAATCAACAAAACAGTATACCAACAACTCAATCAATGTAACTGAATATCACAAACTGAATCAATGTAACTGCATATCACAATCTCAATCAATGAAATTGAATATCACAAACTCAATCAATGTAACTGAATATGACAAACTGAATCAATGTAACTGAATATCACAAATTCAATCAATGTAATTGAATGTCACAAACTGAATCAATGAATCTGGATATCACAAACTCAATCAACGAAACTGAATATCACAAACTGAATCAATGTAACTGAATATCACAAATTCAATCAATGAAACTGAATATCACAAACTCAATGAATGAAACTGAATATTACAAACTGTATCAATGAAACTGAATATCACAAACTAAAGCAATGAAACTGAAACTCATAAACCGAATCATTAAAACTGAATGTCACAAACTGTATCATGAAACTTAATATCACAAACCGAATCAATGAAGCTTAATTCCACAAAACGAATCAATGAAGCTTAATTCCACAAACTGCATCAATCAAACTGAATACAACAAACTGAATCAATGAAACTGAATATCACAAACTGAATCAATGAAACTGAATATCACAGACTGTATCGATGCAACTGAATATCACATAATCAATCAATGAAAAAGAATATCACAAACTCAATCAATGAAACTGAATATCACAAACTCAATCAATGTAACTGAATATCACAAACTTAATCAATGAAACTGAATATCACAAACTCAATCAATGAAACTGAATAACACAAAGTCAATCAATGAAACTAAATATCACAAACTGTATCAATGAAACTGAATATCACAAACTGTATCAATGAAACTGAATATCACAAACCAAATCAATGAAACTGAATACCACAAACTGAATCAATGAAACTGAATATCATAAACTGAATCAATGTAACTGAATATCACAAATTCAATCAATGAAACTGAATATCACAAACTGTATCAATGAAACTGAATATCACAAACTGAATAAATGAAACTGAATATCACAAACTGAATCAATATAACTGAATATCACAAACTGAATCAATGAAACTGAAAGTCACAAACTGTATCAATGAAACTGAATATCACAAACTATATCAATGAAACTGAATATCACAAACTGTATCAATGAAACTGAATATCACAAACCAAATCAATGAAACTGAATATCACAAACTGTATCAATGAAACTGAATATCACAAACCAAATCAATGAAACTGAATATCACAAACTGAATCAATGAAACTGAATATCACAAACTTAATCAATCAAAATACTGAATATCTGAAACTGAATCAATGTAACTGAATATTGCAACTCAATTTAGTCTTAGATGCATGATTTTTTCATTAGTTGTTATTGGCTTTGAACTAACTGTCTTTCTGTATTGCGGATGTATAAGTACCCGTCCACGTCCACTCTGTGTTTTTGCTAGATGTATTTCTTTTTGTATCTATCTGATGAGTTTAGCCTTTTTCAACTGATTGTTATAGTTTGTTCTTATGTTGTACTGTTACATAACTGTCCCAGGTTAGGTGGAGGGTTTGGCGCCAACAAACTAGTTTAACCCTGCCACATTCTGTGTGTGCCTGTCCCAAGTCAAGAGCCTGTAATTTAGTGGTTGTCGTTTGTTGCTGTGTAACATATTTTTTTTCGTTCATTATTTTGTACATAAAAAAAGCCGGTATTTTTCTCGTCTGAATTGTTTTACCTTTGTCATTAAGGGACCTTTTATAGCTGACTATGCGGTATAGGGTTTTCTCATTGTTGAAGGCCGTACGGTGACCTATAGTTGTTAATTACTGTGTAATCTGGTCTCTTGTGGAGAGTTGTCTCATTGGCAATCATACCACATGTTCTTATTTTTATATCAATCAATGTAATTCAATATTACAAACGGTATCAATGAAACTGAATATAACAAACTCAATTAATGTTATTGAACATTACAAACTCATTACTAATTTCAAGAGTTATTATGTTTAACGGTATATTGCTTTAAAGGGACATGATGATCACCATATGTTTTGTATGATAAAAATGTTTGCGTACATTAAGAACATGTCCTAACTGATATATTGTATGTATGAACTAACTGACTTCTCGTTCGAGGTGTTTGAGCTTTTGATTTTACCATTTGATAAAGTACTTTAAAATTTTCCTTGGAGTTCGGTAGTTTTACATTTTTACTTTTTTTATGGTGACAGTGTATCCTCCGGACATTTATCATCTGGGCTATTGTATCGCAACATCTACTAAGCGTGTTAAATTAAAACAAACATTCCCCATTTACAGATCTAATGGTCATGTTCTCCTGAAAACGTATATTATATTATCCACTGGACGAATAACATTTGACCACCTCAACCGTGCGTTCTTCAGTTACTGAGTCCTTTAGTAGAGCTAGTTTAAAGGAAATTAACTATAATGATAAATGTCCTATAACATTCAATTATTGTCAGAAAGAAGAACGTCAATAATATTAATGAAAATAAGTTGCAACCTTTAGTAATATTTATATATGTTTTCTAATTTACCAATAATCTTAAACATGCTTAATTTTGTTTGATAGACTCTAGTTATGGATTTATTATCCAAATTTTAGAAATATCAAAATTGAACAGTAGTAAATGTTGTGTAAGAAGTTAATAACATTTCACACAAAACCTCCACGTTTTGAATTGAAATTGCTTTGGAAGGACTTTGTTTTTTACATTTTGTTTATTTGTTGTAGATCACCTTGGTGAAAATAAGGTAATACTGATTTGATATTAAATATATTTAGTATGCATTTGATATACATGTATATCACAGACATTTTCTTAATTAAAATATTGCAACAAGCCCATCATAAAATTGAGAATGGAAACGGAGAATGTGCCTGAGAGACAACAACCCAATGAAAGAGCAGAAAAAGTCAAGCAAAATATGAAATTCCTTACCTTGACAGGCATTATCAGAAATGATTACAATAACCTTCTTTATTTTGTAAACTGACTGAAATTGTTAAACAAAATTAAACAAATTGTATTTTCAGTTTTAGGTTATTCGTAAAAAAATGTATAATTGAAATACGCGAATAAGGTTCCGTAAAATTATGTTTATTCCTTAAATACTAGCAAGTAAAGGTTGTACGTCTACCATTAGTACTCCATAGTGAAACTACGTCATGCATGTACTCACTCTGTATTTCGGAAGGTCATTTTATGATGTTTTCTCATAATAAAACAACGATTTGTTAACCAAATAAATCATGTAAAATGACGCAAATATCTACATCCAGCATAGCAAAACGAAATACCTTCATTAGCATACGTTTTGTTAGCTGATGATTGAAGTCTATATTGATATACCGCAGTCAAACAAGAAGATGTTTTGGGTACTATGAATGGACAATGTTTATCTGTAGGTGCTTACAAGTAGAAAAGTTCAATAGTTAATTGTTTTCGCATTACACGGATCAAATGTTGAATTTGTTGTCAAAGTAGTCCTTGCCTTTCCTGAGACAAAAGAGGTGGTATTCCAACATAAGGAATTGTGTTTTAAACATTTCGACTTGTAAGTACCCAGAGTAAAACAAAAATCAATTTTAGTACCCAATACATTCTCGTGTTCTACAAAAATTGAACCTTATTGAATTAGTTTATTTTCTTCTACCTTTTACTTCTATTTATTCTTGTGGTCTTGTCAAAAGCATAATCGCATAATTTGTATACGTTTGAAGTCACAACTATATGAAACAATATCTAATGTTTTAACATTTTTGGTTTGCGAACAAAATCCGATACTGTTTTCCTGGTGCACACATTTTTTTCGTATTTTTTGTGTGTTCGTAATCCTTTAAACCTTGGATCAGTTAATATATATACTTATTACTCGGAAATTCATTTTGCTCATCCGGGTTCCCAACCTTATCAAGTTATTGCCGTAATCACGTGACTGATGTATATGAAGTGAGATCGGACCCGGATACTTGTTAGATCTGATACCTCCCGTATAATCACACGAGATATTCAAATAATAACCCTTGATTGGGTATAGAAAAATCACATCAATGGACGTATCTATTGTAGCAGACATAGCCATTTGAAACATGCTAAAGAGGCTCTATTAATTCTTTCGGTTCGGGTGTTCTGATTGGAAAAAAAAAACAATCAAAGATATCAGGCTATAAAGATTTGTTAAACAAGACTGCTACGTCATTTGGTCTCTTGTGTATCATTGCCAATAGTACCAAACCTTTTTATTTCTATATTTAAATACTGTCAGCCTACCGTATGTGCATGTTTGCTGACATGAAATGCTGGAACCTGTATGAAACTATTTTGATATCTAATTAAAACAATTCAGAAGATGATAAATGTCTTCTAATTCTTTAAAGTTTTGTAGAACTGACTGTTAAAATCTGAGTTTTGCTCCATAGCAAGATTATTGTTTTCTATACAAAAGACGTTTATAATAATAAAAACATAGTCTTTACAGGTTATTGTTTCTATTTTATTACCCAGAGGTAAGGAATTTTTCACTATGTTTTGACTCGGAGCTCTTTAATTGTGCTATTTTTGTAAATATGAATTAAAACGTGCGGTTTAAGGAGAGACCACACAATTGTTAGTTTTATAAATATTTGTTTTGTGTCTCTAGCTTGTATTTTTTTATCACACGATCCATCAACCATAGGGAAGCATAGTAAAGTATTACTTCTTACTTATGTGTTTTCATTCAGACGAACCAACCTTACACCAATGTTCTCAAACATCAATGAGTTTCAATGACTGTAAAAATTAAAATAAGCACTGTAAACTGTAAATTTATGCTCAGTCTTTGGTTTTTGATGTCTTTTTATACTATGTTTTTCTTTTAGTCTTTTTTCTTGTCATGACATTGTAAGTTTGTTTTACACTTATGAGTTTGAATGTCCCTTTAGTATCTTTCGCTTCTCTTTTATGCCGAGTCATCATGATTGTACCTAAGGCTCAAAATTAATATTTGATTAAATTTTATTAAATTCTCTGAAGATATTTATATTTGATAAAATTTAACAATTTTTATTTTTTTTATTCAATAAAGGTTTCACTATTTTAAATATGGTGAATATAGACAATGCAACTTCCCATAGATAATCCTTTTACGACTAAATCTGTCACACTTCTACAATGAAATTTCGTAAATAATACATACTGGAATAGGAGGTGCATATGCACTACTAATGTTTGCAAAGGTCAAGACATAGGGTTTCATAGCATATTTTCAAAATTAATATGCTTCAAACTTAGTAGTGTTTAAACTATACTTGAGTTATGTATCACACCTCCCTAGGGAGTTCAATTTTACCACTATCCAACTTTATTTACACTGATGATATTCCCAATTGTGTCTCTATGAGATGAAACATGAAGATCATATCTAGGAATCAGTAGGTAAAAAAAAAATGTCTGTGAATATCAAGTATATCCCAAAGGCTGAGTGGTTTATAAATCAGTTCTATTTACCAAGTGCAACCTACAGTAAAGTTAAAAGACTTTTTTGTCCTTATATTCTAAATTAATAGTCGGTTTCATATTGGCTTTTTTGGAGAATTTTCTATCAGCATATTCAAATCGCATGAATATAAACTCAGTCCTGCACAATATTAAATTGAGGTAAATCGAGATACCATTAAAAACTTCGTTCATCTACTTTTAACCTCTGTGATAAAAAATGCCTATAATTTTATTAAGCACTTGGTGTGCAATACACATATAACCTGCTTTGTAGATTTTGTTCATTTGATAACAAACATTTAAACGTTTGTCATGTTTTGTTTTTACTCGATGTTTATTATGCAAATGTATTCCTTTTGCAGACGCTATATCATCGAGGTTTCCCAGTAGAATTGGTATCATACAGCACAAGAAAATTTCATTTAAATGACAAATCGTCTTTCTTAGAATCGGTTGCGTTTAGAAAGGAAAATAGATCTAGGCAAAGAGAAACATTAATTCTGTTTCGCCTGAAAGGTATGCTGTATTCTCCTTCTGCTCTGATGCATTTGGATATGGAGGATATTGAAGTTACAAAGTCTATCGATGTATTGTGTATTTCCGAAACAGAAAGTGAGCTCAGAGTGGAAGTTTTAACAGGTCTCAATAGATATACGGCCTTCGACTTCGCAAAACAACTAAAGTTTCTTCACAATGGCCAAAGGGTTAGGAAGTTGAAAGATCTAATTCTTTGTTTAAAATTAAGGGATCCGAAAAAAAAAGATCCTGCATTTCTTGAACGTGTCAAAACGGAGAACGAGGGATACATTAAAACATGTTACAGTCTTAATCAAGATTTATATGGTAACCAAAGTCAAACGAGCAAAACTAAGGACAACGAAGATACCATAGCCGAGAATATCAAGAGACTACAACAAGAGATGAACAAGTTTCAGCAGGATATCAATTTCAACATGGGCGCAACCAAAGACAACATTGTTGGGAAAAATTATAATGCTAAATGTTTCACTGACAGTAAGTGGACTGACCGCACACAGATGGGAAATAACAAAGTAAGAACACAATCAGACCGTCCAACATGGAAAGTATGTTTACAAAATCGGGAAGATGAAACGAACGGGGTTGTAAGTGAATGTCTAGGAGATCCTATGATAAGTCAGGCAATGTATGAGTTCTTTGGACAATATATTGACTGTGGATACAAAGGTTCAATTGAAAGACCACACATACCTTGGCCAAGTATGCATCCTTTCTTGCCGTACAATTGCCATTATCAAGACAACAGAGGATCTTAATTTTATTTTTCGTGGGTTGTTACATGAACAATGAAAAAATGTAACGAATACATATATTCTGCTTACTATAAAAAGTTCAATAAGAACACGTCTATCAACTGTAGAAGTGGTCCTCCAAATGTTATATACAATTCAACAAATTACAATAGTGCCAATGAATATGAGTTACAATGGCGAATGTAATGCATTTCTGAATGTATATAGACTTAGTATCTAAAATAAATAATAATTATACATAGACTTTGTATATTCGATATGCATACAATACAGCACCAGATAATAGTTTACCAAAATTACTGGAATGCGCTTTGTTTTTGAAACCTTGGGAATAATAAGTATCCAAAATTTGGAAAAAAATACACTCATGTCATCAAATCGGTTAATTGTATTTTAGAATGGTGACAAAAGAAAACAAGCACACAAAAAATATTCTGCGGACATACAGTCAAGAAAAATGACGACTGTTTACTCTGCTATCATCAATGAGTTGTATAGTTTTGTGTCAATTTATAACAGTAACTCGTATAACGTTTTTTATGAACGGCGTGAAAAGCATCAGGGCGATGTTGCATTCAAACTATACTGCGATGTTATTTAGTCAAAAAAAGAAAAACCTCCAACATTTAGAACCCTTATTTCTGCTCTTGGCAAAAAATAGGCAGATGGATTCTATATTATTTAGAGCTAAACGATTGAATGCTACTTCGACAGCTGTATTTCAAAATTTCGAGAAAAAAATTAACGATACCATTTAAGAGGTTTTTCTCCCTGATAGTTACAGTCCTTGGATGGTGTAAACTTCCCACTAACACCATACACCATTACAACATTCACCATACACCATTACACCATACAACCTGTGCCATTACACCATACTCGTTACACCTTTGCACCATACACCTTACACATTACACCATAATGCATTTTAATTTCAAAGAAAGCGTGCGACTACAAAATTAAATATTTATTTTAAAAAACGAATTTTGATTACAATATTGTAAATTAATGTATAAAATAAAAAATCAGTTCTTATCAATATTTTGCAGAGTTTTAAATGTCGTACACCATTCATTCACACCATTCCCAATCGCACGTTACACCATTACACCATTCCCCTTCTACCATTGCACCATATGCCATACATCATTACACCATACACGTTTTTTGGGAAGTTTATACCATCCAAGGGCTGTAGCAAGAAATCACTTATACATGTTACATGTTATAATAGAAAAACAAAGGATATGGGGTATTCATCCATGAAAAAAATCACTACATGCACAGCAAAAAAAAAAAAAAAAAAAAAAAAAAAAAACTCACAAAAAGCAAAGGAACAGCGCTTTTGTTGCTGTTCTACATCTCAAAATCACAGTGAGGCCTTCAACACGAAGCCAAACATTTTTTTTATACATATCTGTTATTTTCAAATACACAGATGATAAGTAGGACTTCACCATTTAAGTCGAGTCGAAACTCCTCCAAATCGTTAAGTAGCATCTGAATTGAACCTTCAAGATTTTTAGAAATTAATATACTATATTGGAATGCTCATTATTAAAAGCGGCACGGTGATCTATTATCGTTGCTTAAATCCGCGTCATTTGGTCTCTGGTGGGTAATTTTTATATTGGAAATCATACCAAAACTCTTTTTGTTATTATTATTTGTTCTTTTTGTTGTTAATTAGGCTGTTGGGGTGACTGGATTTGTTTTCTTTCACCTTGTTGTTTTTATAACTTCATTTGTTTCTTCTCGGATTTTTAATGCATCTTGAAATGTAAGTTGATATTCAAAACTGAATAAAGTATTTTACAGAAATTATTGAATTGTTGGAACATTTAACTTGTTTGACGAAAAAAAACCATATACCTTATATGTGACCCGTCATGACATTTCCAGGCTTATGGCGGTAAACGTCATAATAACGTAACGTAATCGGGGTACCTGGTATTGAATGTCCAATTATGTCATGCGGTAAAATAAAATTTAGTTTTTTTTCATGAATTAAGGAAATTTGAAATTTATATTGTGTATATACAAAACAGGTATATTTTTTACGTAAAATTAATAATTTAGGTTAAAATCCCGTTTAGAATTGCGTTCTAATTCCATACAATTTTCAGATTTCATTGCTTAAATCACATTCTCCTGAATCATTACTATGTTTTAGATTATACAAAATGGTTTGAATTATAACCATTGCGAAGTATTATTACGAAAAATAAAGTACCGAAATTTCTAACTTTCCCGAATCAGATTGCAGCATGAACACCATGTTTTTGGAGTAAACATCATTGTTTATATAACATTGTAAGTGATAATATTAACATATGTATGGCCATATACTAGTACATGTAAATTAAGCAAGATAGACCTGCCCATTAGGAACCCAATAGTGTCTCATCCCATGTTTATTCCTAGTTACTTTTTGTTTATCTATGACTGACATTACATAAACAAGATGCATGTGTTGTTGAAAATTTTCTTACATCCCTTTCGCCTGCATAGACCTAACATTATTGATTACGCTGTTTGATTTTTCATCTTACTCTGCATTAAGAGATCTTTGATTTAATCATTTTGTCATTATACATGTACAACATGTATTCACAATAAGATAATAGATGAACATTAGAAGGCATATCAAATAAAACACAGCTCCTTGATGGTTTGTTATATATCTTGGTGTTCTCGTTCTTAGCATTGATATAGTTTTCCCCACTAGAAAAAAAAATCTGTTTAAGTCATTATTATTTTGATTGCAGATTCCGGTACATTGCTATGGTATGCTATGCTTCATAAGCCCGAAAATCTCAAGGCTGGTCATATATAAGAGTTGTACAAAGATGTATCAAAACATCGGGTAAAATGAATTAAATAAGTGTACATAGTGATAGAAAATATCAAGGGGGCAATCAAATGATACATTGAAAAAAAGACATTATATAAAACATAGCTGGGAGGGTGATAAAGTAGATTATCACCCGAGAAAAACAATGTCAGCTGAGGCGAAGCCGAGGTTGACCATGTTTTTCGAGGGGTATTAATCTTCTCTATCACCTTCTGAGCTATGTGTTATTTAATTTATCATACTAAATGTTTTTATCATTGTTGTCGTTTACTGTCAGATTTAGATTTGAAAGTACTTAACTATTACAGTTATTAGAAAAACAACAAGTAAAGCAATATATATATATATTTTCATTTTGACAGTCTATGAAAAAGTTCTGAGGCCAATAACAACCAAAAATTCCGAAAAGTTATGTCAAATGCGTTTAAGGCAATCTGTGCATAGATGTAGAAAATCTTAAGTGTTTCGAATAATCAAACATTTTATAATCAGGTCAATTTACAAAACTTGACCTAGCAACCTAGATGCACATGCATATGAAAAATTGAAGAAAAAAAAGAGATTTTGGAAATAAAATTGAAACTAACAAACATGACCATTATTCTGTTATTTTGAAATATCTAGCAAAATTGCTTGTCAGGGTGTTTTGAATCTATGTATACTTCATAAAAATGCAAAGAACTCATTTTGACCCTGGTACCTCCATAAGCCTGAAAATCTCAACGCTGGTCACATATAAGAGTTGTACAAAGATGTATCAAAACATCGGGTAAAATGAATTAAATAAGTGTACATAGTGATAGAAGATATCAAGGGGACAATCAAATGATACATTGAAAAAAAGACATTATATAAAAACATAGCTAGGAGGGTGATAGAGTAGTTTGTCATCCCAAGAAAACAATGTTAGCTGAGGTGAAGCCGAGGTTGACAATGTTTTTCGAGGGGTATTAATCTGCACTATCACCCTCTGTGCTATGTGTTATTTAATTTATCATACTATATGTTCTATCATTGTTGTCTTTTACTGTTAGATTTTGAATTGAAAGTACTTAACCATGACGTCATGAACATAACAATGTTATAGTTATTAGAAAAACAACAAGTTAAGCAATATATATATATTTTCATTTTGACAGTCTATGAAAAAGTTCTGAGGCCAAAACTTAGAACTCGAGCATTGTTTTCAATTTATTTATACAAAAATTATGTTCATTGTTCTTTAAATTATCGGTATTTGATTTGACTGCACGAGAGGGGGATATTCAAAAAGTGCTCTCCCGCTGAGCCATGGGATAGGGTAAATTAACTCCCTCGTAATAGCCAATCAAAATTGGCATTATTAATATATAATAGTTGTACAAAAATGTATCAACACATCGGGTAAAATAGATTTAATACGTATACATATATAGGGGTAGAAGATACCAAGGAGGAAATCAAATGGTCCATTCAAAAATAGACTATATTATTGACAAAAGAAAAGTTTACTAGAGAAAATATACCCTGTCCTTTTCATAAACTGCAGGAAACAAGACTTACCCTTAGCAAATGTCCCCCGCCGCTGTGACATAACTCATCGTATATATATGATTTATACTTTGCTTCACCAGACACGTATTTTGTCCACCTTAGACTCACCAGTGGCGCTCGAATTAAAAGAGTTTGAAAACCACATTAAAAACGCGATTGAAGAGGATGAACAACCGAAATTTCCAAAAAGTTATGTCAAATGCGTTTAAGGCAATCTGTGCATAGATGTAGAAAATCTTAAGTGTTTCGAATAATCAAACATTTTATAATCAGGTCAATTTACAAAAATTTTATCTAGCAACCTAGATGAACATGCATATGAAAAATTGAAGAAAAAAAAGAGATTTTGGAAATAGAATTGAAACTAACAAACATGACCATTATTCTGTTATTTTGAAATATCTAGCAAAATTGCTTGTCAGGGTGTTGTGAATCTATGTATACTTCATAAAAATGCAAAGAACTCATTTTGACCCTGGTACCTCCATAAGCCTGAAAATCTCAAGGCTGGTCACATATAAGAGTTGTACAAAGATGTATCAAAACATCGGGTAAAATGAATTAAATAAGTGTACATAGTGATAGAAGATATCAAGGGGACAATCAAATGATACATTGAAAAAAAGACATTATATAAAAACATAGCTGGGAGGGTGATAGAGTAGATTGTCACCCCATGAAAACAATGTTAGCTGAGGCGAAGCCGAGGTTGACAATGTTTTTCGAGGGGTATTAATCTGCTCTATCACCCTCTGTGCTATGTGTTATTTAATTTATCATACTATATGTTCTATCATTGTTGTCTTTTACTGTTAGATTTTGAATTGAAAGTACTTAACCATGACGTCATGTACATAACAAAGTTATAGTTATTAGAAAAACAACAAGTTAGCAATATATATATATTTTCATTTTGACAGTCTATGAAAAAGTTCTGAGGCCAAAACTTAGAACTCGAGCATTGTTTTCAATTTATTGATACAAAAATTGTGTTCATTGTTCTTTAAATTATCGGTATTTAATTTGACTGCACGAGAGGGGGACATTCAAAAAGTGCTCTCCCGCTGAGCCATGGGATAGGGTAAATTAACTCCCTCGTAATAGCCAATCAAAATTGGCATTATTAATATAAAATAGTTGTACAAAAATGTATCAACACATCGGGTAAAATGGATTTAATACGTATACATATATAGGGGTAGAAGATACCAAGGAGGAAATCAAATGGTCCATTCAAAAATAGACTATATTATTGACAAAAGAAAAGTTTACTAGAGAAAAAATACCCTGTCCTTAAAAACTGCAGGAAACAATAACTACCCAAGCAAATGTCTCCCACCGCTGTGACATAACTCATCGTATATACAAGGTTTATACCTTTCTTCACCAGACGTTTGTTTTGTCCACCGTAGACTCACCAGTGGCGCTCGAATTAAAAAAGTTTGAAAATCATATTAAAAACGCGATTGAAGAGGATGAACAGCCAAAAATTCCGAAAAGTTTTGTCTAATGTGTTTAAGGCAATCTGTGCATAGATGTAGAAAATCTTAAGTGTTTCGAATAATCAAACATTTTGTAATCAGGTCAATTTACAAAAATGGACATATCAATAACTAATGAGCTTAGGTTACACAATCGGAGACGAAACGTCCACCAGCGTTGACATCAAACCAGTGGTTAAAGAGATTGTTAAGATACAAATCTTATACTTTGATACGCTAGACATACGTTTTGTCCAATGAGACTGAGTTGCCAGTGGATCTCAGAACAAAACATTTTGAAGACCAGACCAACACGAAGTTGATCAATGAAAACCAACATTTCCGAAAATGTGTGCTTAAATGAGGAATAAAGTTGTATTTACAGCACAAACTCATATTTATTCTTAAAAGGCCAATTCAACATTGTAATTAGAGTTTCGAATACTGTTTTTATTGGTATAAATATTGATTATGTTATCAGTAAATTAAAACCAAACTGAATTTTATTGCTATGAACGTATGTACATTCACGGTTTTTCAATTTCTCAATACCTTAATTTTGGCATTGCACAAGGCGGTTTTTTTTCTGACTATCAATGACGTCTTTACACTTAATCCATTGAATGTGTACTGATTAATATTTTTGTCTTAGATACATGATTTTTATTAGTTGTTTTTGGCTTTGTAATACCTGTCATTAACTGCAAGTTATCTCAGATTTAGATCTGTTTTTTTTGTCTATTGCTTTTTTGTTACGGCTTTTTGTGATTTGTATCGATCTGATAAGTTAAGCCTTGTTCAACTGATTTTTATAGTTTTTTGTATGTTGTACTGTTACACCACTGTCCCGGGTAGTGGTAAGGGTTTGGCGGCAGCAAAAAAGTCTAATCCCTCCTCATTCTGTATGTGTCTGTCAGGAACCTGTAGTTCAGTTGTTGTCGTTTGTTGCTGTATAT